CTAATTAAATATTAAATCAGTGATCTAAATGAACATATCCATTCCTGAAGCTTGTTTAATTGTATTATTGTTAGTCCTATGTTATTACATAGTAATCTTTTATGACAACATGGTTCTTGTCCAATGCTTCTTTATTACCTGGTTCCCCAACAATTCCCTGCACTGATTTATACCAGACTGGGATAGTTTTCTCCTGGATCAGAATGAGGGATTTACTGTAAATACATCTGATGTTCTAGGGCACATAGAATTTAAAAATAGGATAGAGATGTATACTTAGCAGCAGTGCATTTGCCTAGCACACATGAGGTCCTGGGTCCAATTCCCAGCACCACATAGCAAGCAAGCAAACAAAAAAACCTCCAGAAGTATGCATATAATCTGCCTTTAAAATGACATAATTATAGACTGAGTGACTAAGTACACAAGCAATAATGACTTGAGTTTAGGAAGCAATTTTTAATGCTGAGTATTTTCATCTAGTCCTTAGATGACTATCATAAGGTCCTACTGTTTTTCCTGGTACCAGCTTTGAGAAAACAGTTTTGCTTTTAATTGCAACTTTCTAGAGGACCACTAGATGGTGATATTGCCTTCAAAAAGGTCTGTGGGAGGGTGGTATTTATTGTGTTTTATAACTCAAAACTCTTTTACTTACCTCTCTTTTCTCCCTCACACAAAAATGCAGTAAAATAGATTCTTTGATTACTGTTCAAAGAATCTATTTTATTTTGACTGTAATTTTTAGAACCATAAAAGATGCTTTTCAATACTATGTAAGTAACGGATTTGGAGATTTTACTTTTTGCAGTACTGGTAAGTGAACCTAAGGTCTTCTGTATTCTAGATAAGTGCTCTACCACTTAGCTCCCCTCCACGCCAGGACTTGGGAGATTTTATATCGAGAATAACAAGGCTCAGAGAGGTTAAGTAATTTAACTAAGATTCCACAACAGATTAAACAACAATGCCAGGACTAGAACCAAAAATTCCCTAATTTAGGATGTGGATTTTATGTTCTTTGTATCAAAAAAGTAAACTTCATATTTTCCTCTCAGGAAATGAAGTTAATTTTAATTTATATGTCATATGGGAGACACACGACACACACAGAGTAACTACATCTTTTAGTAAAACACCTATAATTTGTTAATAAAGACTCAGAAAAGGGGAAATACTATGACTCGAAGATTCTGGGAAAGTTGCACAGAATCTTTTAAAAGAAGAGCATTAGCTTTTTAGGCTCTAGAATTTTTATTTATTTCCTCAACTAACCAAGCCTATTTCTCCAATGGATTTTAAAGAGAATAACTGTTACCTTAAAAAAGAGGGGGTGGGCTGGGGTGGTGGCTCAGTGGTAGAGCGCTTGCCTAGCATGTGTGAGGTTCGATCCTCAGAACCACGTATAAATAAATAAAATAAAGGTTCATTGACAACTAAATAGTACTGAAACATAGGTTATATAGTTCTAAAGTTTCCAATGTTGAACAGAATAAAGTGTGAATATTGATATTCAAAATGAGGAAATAATTCAGGTTTAAAACAAATATTACTTCTCATCATCTACCGTCCTAACTTTAAATTAGTGACTCTCTTTCTTTCTTCTATTATAGCACATGTAACAGGGAGGTCCATACTGATTACAGACCTAAAGTACTAGCTATAATTCTAACCAGTTTTTCTCACAATTAAAAAAGAAGGCATATCAAAAATTAAATGACAGTTGTGGTTGATGCTATTACAGTAACAGGCTGAAATCTGCTCTATTTTAAAATGAAAAACCTTACACTAAATTTTTAAACACTTCAATTATTCTATCTATAGTAGCTAACTAGAAACTATTTCAAAGTAACTTAAAATGTACATGGGTATATTACAGTAAAATTTCTTTTAAAATCAGAGTGTTATTAAGATTCACTAGAAGAAAATACATATTTTGAAGGCATTCTACAAAAATAAAGCCTATTTCTCCAATGGATTTTGAAGAGAATAACTGTTACCTTAAAAAAGAGGGGGTGGGCTGGGATGGTGGCTCAGTAGCAGAGCGCTTGCCTACCATGTGTGAGGCACTGGGTTCGATCCTCAGCACCATGTATCAATAAATAAAATAAAGGTTCATTGACAACTAAAAAAATTGTAAAAAAAGGAAAGCTTACTATTAAAAAAAAAGAGAGAGGGCAATTTAAAGGAGTATATAAATCTCTTAATCAGAATAAGACATTTGCTTATAAAACAAAATGACACCAATCATCTCTCTTATAAATTTCACTGACCAGAAAAATTCAGTTAATATTACCTGAAAAATGCAAAATTAAAAGATTTAAATTTCCTATTTTTCTAAACTCAAAATTCCTCCATGAATCCAACAGGGTAATAAAGAACATGACCCAGTGAACTGTCATATTTCTGACACTTCACTGGAAACCAACACTACATTTAAAATAGAAATCAATGGGAAAATAGAGTTTTGATTTATAAAATATGGCTTAATAGTAAATTTTTTGAAACAACTCTATTCCAAATGGTGTAGACAGACATCTGCATGATAAGAAGTGATTGGATGGATTCAAATGGTAATGAGGTGTTTCCCATCTTCATTGAAACGTAATAAGAAAATAAAAACAATGAGATTTATACTCAAGTACAACAAACATATACTTGTATTAAGGATAATATAATTACAGTGAAATCTCAACCAGTTAAGCAAACAAAACCCTTAATTAACTAAAGTGCCCCCTAAAAAAATGCACAGAAATTTAGTCATTCAAAAATATCATATCAATTAAGTTTTATATTAAGTACACATTAAGATCAGCTTTTCTTTTCATCTTCTACAAAAGGGCACTATTACACATGATGGAATAAGAAAAAAATTGAGAGCAGAAAACCTTGAACTATACATTGCCAATATCTTCTGACTTTTAGTCTTTCAATCCTTAATAATAGCAAAGATATGAAAATAATGTAAGTGTTCATTAACAAATGAATCGTTAAAAGAAAATATGGGATGTGTGTGTATGTGTGTGTGTGTGTGTGTAAGCACAATGGAATACTCTTCTTCTTAATAGAAGGCAATTCCATTATTTATGACAACAGAGATAAAAGTGAAGGGCATTATTATTAAGTGAAATAAGCCAGCAACAAAAAACAAAGACTGTATGATATCACTTATATGTAGAATATAAAAGAGTTGAACTCATGTAAGTATAAAATACAGTGGTGGTTACAAGAGGCTGTGATTGGGATTAAGGGTTGGTCAAAGAACATAAAATGTCAGTGAGACAGGAATAGTAAGTGCAAGAGATCTATTGGACAACATGGTGATTCTTAACAGCAATATATTATATTCTTGACAACTGCTGAGAGTAGACTTTAAGTATTCTTACCAAAACTAAAAACAAACCAAAAACCCTGAGGTAAGGCATGTTACTTGGATCATTTAGGCATTCCACAATATATGTATATTGCAAAATGACACACTGTACACAACAAATATATACAACTTTTATATTCCAATTAAAAACAAGTTTTTAAAAAGAAAATCATTCAATCCTGTCTGGATATCAATTTTCACAAATGCAAATTGAGGAGCATTATCTTTTTAGGCTCTAGAACAATTTTATAAAACAGTCACACACAAACACACCAAAAATCCATACAACCCTTTCTTCAAATATTAACTTTGAGTTCAGTGGGTAAAATAAAAAGAAAATAACTCTCATAAAAGTAGATATAGAGAACTAAGACCCCTGTCCAATCACAACTCTGTTCATAAAATACTCTCTGGGGAGTTTCTCCAAACTCTCAGATCATTATTTGAAAACTTTTACTCTAGAACAATAAACAATGCAAAGATTTTACACAATGATGTCACTGGTACCGAAAAATCAAAAGATTTTTCACTCTGAAAATTTGAAACAAAAGAATTTTTATTTATTTCCTCAACTAACCAAAAATTGGCAAAGATTCACTGAAAGCAAACAACTATTTCTAAGAAATTCAATCAACTTATGTTTCATTACTATTAAAAGGTGACACTAAAGAAATGACACAATTGCCATAAAATTTTAAAATACACAGATTATATTTATATATCAATAAATCCAAAAGTAAATAAGATTGAGCTAAACTGATCAAATATTCATGAATCTGTTAATTTCAGAGTTTATCTGTATAAAAGCTGCTATTTCACATAATATTTTATTTTTGAAATTCCATGTTAAAAAGTCAAGCAGTAGAAAAATTCACCAGATGACAAAAAGTACTTTTCTTTAAACAGTTTTAGCTGCTATATACTAACAAGGCAAGTCATATTTCTCATCACCAGACCCAAAGGAAATCAAATCAGATACACACCCAACTTTAGCCACAGAAGCTCTACCGTTTTTATGTTTTACATATATAACTTCCTCATAATATTTTGCTTAAAGAGTTCCAAGTAGTTATCAAAACAAAGAAAAAGTAACACAACTACAGACATAACACACACAAAGTGAAGTCTAAAACAATAATTAAAATGGTGTTTTATCAGCTAGAGTGTAAGCTCAGTGGTAGAGCACATGCCTGGGTTTGATCCCTAGCACCACCACCCCTCACCCTCCGCCAAAAAAGAAAAAAGTTTTTTAAATGTATAATTTTAAAAGCATACATTAAGGTTTCTTAGAAAATACAAAAATTAAGAATATCTTAATGTCTGTATCTGCATCAGAAATAAGCATTAATTTTTAAAATTATTTAAAATTCAGTCATATTTAAAATTGCATATTTTAACAAAACTATATTTATCTGTGCCAAAAATCAATTACTTTTAAATTGACTACATAAAATTTTATAACTAAACTAGGCAATCCAATATAGTAAAAAGTGTCATTATTTTGTGTATTTAAACATGAAAAGTTAATGTCATTTTTAAAAAATATGATTAAAAAATAAGGTGTTTTAAGTACAGATCCTAAAAATAGACTTCAGTGTCTACAATGTTCATTTAAGAGTATTCTTACCTTTCTTCTGAGCTATACAAACGAGCAAGTCCAAAATCAGCAAGCTTTATCTGCCCTCTGGTGGAAATAAAAAATGGACAACAGCTGTTATTCTACTCTGAATTGATAATGTAGATTCATACTCTATTCCTTGAACTAATCAAAAAGACACATTAACTTTGATTACACTGCAATACTGCCAATGTCTTACAAGAAAAGTCAAGCAATAGAAAAATTAACCAATGACAAACAGTACTTTTCTTTAAACAGTTTCAGCTGCTAGTAGTTGAGGCGTCCATCCATAGCTATGGGTTCTCAATCTGCAGATTCAACCAATGCAGATTAAAAATATTTGGGGAAAATGCATCTGTACTAAACTTATACAGACTTATTTTTCTTGTTGTTATTCCCTAAACAATACAGAATTATCAACTATTTGCATAACCTTTTACTGTGCATTAGGTATTGTAAATAATCTGGAGATGATTTAAAGTATATGGGAAAATGTACTAGTTATATGCAAACACTATGCCATTTTATATAAGGAACATTAGCATCCACAGATTTAGGTCAAGAGGGGAGGAGGTTCCTGAAACCAATCTCCCATGGGTACCAAAGAATTACTCTGTTACTATTATTACTATCATTATTATAATATAGTATTTGTATAATAGTAATTTTGTTAATGTTCAGTTTGTATTTAGAAAAGTGTACTTCAATGAAAACAAATGAGAATCTTCATTACTCAGGAATAAGACTTGAAAACTTTTTCAAGTCGATAATATTCAAGAAATGTCAAATCATTTAAAATTTGTTTAATTTTCCAGCTCTTAGTGGGGTTGAGCACACAGAACATTTTCTATTAATTAAAATCATGACCAGGCATGCCTCATTTAAACTAACAAACAGCAAAATTATAAGAGTAACAATTACAAGAGAACTACCAGAGCTCAGGTTATGCAGTTACTGAAATAGTTAACATAAGCGTCATACACAACTTCAGAAAAGTTCACTTTCTAATTGTGACAAATGTTTTAAAAAATTCTAAAAATTCTAATGTAAAGCTGAAAGCTTATCAGCAATTATTAGAATACTCATGATATTTTAAGAAAGGCAACTAAGTATTATTATATGTACATTACAAACTACACTGGAAGTGAATTTAATTAAAATATATCTAACACAACTTTAGAGGTAGCCCAAAGCTGTAATGTTGATTACATTAAAATAGTTTAAAGCAATGAACTAATCTGAAACTCTTTTTACAGAATCAAGGTATATAGTATATAACACTTACTTTAAACATATATATCAAACTCATATCCATACCTATTATTTAGAAGGATATTTGAACATTTAATGTCTCTATGCAAAAAGTTCTTCTTATGACAATAATCCAGACCTTCCATGAGCTGTCTCATAAATGACTTTATGTGATTTTCATTAAAATGAACCAAGCCTGATTCCAGCAGTCCCATTAGATCATGGTCCATATATTCAAAGACCAGATAAAATGCACCTAAGAATGAGAATAATTACTACATTAAAGACTTTTAATTATACATTGTACCTATACAAGAGTTATTGTAAAACAATAAAATACTGCTGATGGTTAGGAAATAATTTTTGAAAGTGCTACTTTATCACTTTAATCACATTCAAATTTTTCCAAGAATGTAATATAAAGGAAATACACAAACTAGTTTCCTTTTCCTAAAGAAAGTTTATGATAAAAAAATACCTGAGGAGTATGATTAATGTAAAATAAATTGTTCAGTGTTTTAGACAAATTGTCTCAGCAGAACCCTCCCCCCAGAGTAGAGTTCATTAAAAGAAACTGAAAAGTTGTTAAAAGAACTGCTTTTAATAAAAAGGGGAGTGGTCCCAGATGAACTTTAGACAGTCCAGCTTTCAATAAACATACAATTTAATTGTTTATACAGCTAGAGTTCTTGAAAACATAGAAGTTACAACTTTATTTTCTAAAACTAATGTGGTTGTGCAACCAAAACATAAAATAGCACTTAGTATAAACACATAAACCATACAACTGTACTGTACTGATTAAACCTTAAAACTTGTACAAATTGAATCCAAAGATATATCATATATATTAGAATATCATAATCAAGTTAAAGTTTCATTTATCAATTCAAGAATAGAAAACCTAACAAAATGCATTACAACTATCTGAGAAAAGAGAAAAATTCTTAACTTCATGGTAAGTAACTAATCATAGTTCATAATCGATTCCTAATTAAAAACAGCAAAATAACTCCCAGTAAACATGGAACGGGAGGATTCTTTCTTCGAAGTTCATTATAGTAATGAATGAAACCTAAAACCAATATCACACTGATTAAGAAAATATCAGATATTGTACACAAGACAAAACCTTCATTATTACTAACTCTGTTCAGAAGAAACCTTACACAAAAGGCCTATTACCTTAGTTCTTTCAAATCTCATATATTATTTAGAGCTTTCAATCAAAACCTAATAAGATAGGTTAAAACAGTCTTAAAAAACAAAGTAAGCATAAGGGTCAACATAGCAGACATACAAGAACATTTTAAAACTATGATAGCTATACTAAAAGTTCTATTGGGAAAAAAAAAGTGAACAACAGGTCAGTGCAGATGGCTACCATAAATAGAGAACCAGAAACTCTAAAAATTCAAAAGGAAATGTTCAAAATCAAAAACACTGTTAACAGAAATAAAGAATATCACTGATAGACTCATAACTCATACCACATTTAGCCAACGAATAAATGAGGTTGGGGCTGGGGTTGTAGCTCAGTGGTAGAGCACTTGCCTAGTATATGTGAGGCAATGGGTTTGATCCTCAGCACCACATAAATATAAATAAATAGAATACAGTATTTTGTCCATCTACAACTAAAAACGTATTTTTAAAAAAAATTTCAATGAGCTTGAAGATATGTCAAAAGAAACTTCCAAAATGACATTCAAAGAAAAAAAAAGAACAAAGTATACAATGAATAATTACAAGAGGTGTTATACCAGAGGAGAAGAGAGAAGGAAACATCAGAAATATCTGAAGCAATGACAGAAAATGTCCCTAAAGTAATGGCAGATACCAAATCACAGATGCTTCCTTATACACCAACAATGAACAAATGGAATTTGAAATTAAAACCATATATGTATAACATCTATAAGAAAAAATTACAAAATTCTAATGGAAAAAAATAAAAATATAAACAAATGGAAAAATATTTCAGGTATATGAGAGGAATACTCAATGTCAAAGTGTCAATTCTTGCAAGTTATTTTGCAGATAAGTTTATATGGGTAGCAAAGAAACAAAACAAAACAAAACAAAACAAAACAAAAAAACTGAGAACAACAACACAATACTGGAGAAAAGATGGAGAATAAACTTAGAGAACTGACTCTATCCAACTTTAAGATATACTATAAAGCTACCATAATCTACATAATGTGATAGCAGTGAAAAACAGATAAGTCGAAAACATGAAAATAGACCCTGAAAAAAATAGTCAAACTTATCTTCGACAAAGCAGCAAAGGCATTTCAATGGAGAAAGGATAGTTTCTCTGCAAATGCTGCTGAAACAAGAGGACATAAGTATTCAAACAAAAATGATTTTACATAGATTTTTATACCTTTCACAAAAATTTTAAAATGAATTTTAAACTTACGGATTTTAGGTTTCATGGTGATTTTAGATACAACACCAAAATCAAAATATGTGAAAGAGAAAATTAAGTTGTACATTGTTAAAATTTAAAACTTTTCTCTTTGAAAGTCCCGATTAGGAGAATGGAAAGACAAGTCAGAAACTAGAAGGAAATCTTCACAAAATGCACATCTGATAAAGACTGGTATGCAATACACCTGAAGAATTCTTAAAATCTTACAATAACAAAACAGCTCAAATAAAAAATGGGCAAAAGATCTGAACAGATACCTCACCAAAGAAGATATACAAATGGCAAATAAACATATTAAAAGACTCTCCACATTACTTCATCAGAGAATTGCATATTAAAAGGTATTGCATATCTTAGAATTGCAAATATCCCAAACAGTAACATCAAATGCTGATGAAGATATGAAGCAAGAGAAACTCTGATATGTTGCTTATGAGATACCAAATGGTAACAATCACATTTGGAAGACAGTTTGCAGTTTCTTACAAAACTAAACATACTCTTACCAAAGGAACCAACAACTGTGCTCCTTGGTATTTACCCAAAGAAATTTAAAATTTACACCCACACAAAAACCTGTACATGAATTATAGCAGCTGTGTTCATAAATGTCAAAAGCTGGAAGCAACCAAAGTATTCTTCAATAGGTAAATGGATAAACAATGTTCAGTTCATCCACACAACAGACTATCATTAATCAGAAATAAAGGTATTAACATCAATCTTTGAAAGGTAAATATTCAAAAACAAAAGGCCCAAGGCTGTTATATAAAGTAGGATAAATTGGTAGTGGGTGGTCCCAAACATACAGAATAATATCTTCCCCGGGCCAATATCAAGCTACATTTTAAAACTACAGTGTCTAACTGAAAAGCATTGATCAAACACGGTTTGAACTAAGGCTACAGCAAGGCGAGAGGTGTTTTAAGTATATAATACACAGTGGATTTTGAAGATTTAATACAAAAAAAGAAATTTCAATTTTTTTATATTTGGGGTTAAAATAAATTCACTTGTCATTTTATTTATTTTAATGGTATTTCTAGAAAATGTAATAAACACATACATGACCAGCATCATATACTTACTGAACAGCAGTGGTTTTTGTTGTTTTTGTAATCAGGGATTGAACTCAGGGACACTTAATCACTGAACCACATCCCAGCCCTTTTTTGTATTGTATTTAGAGACAGGATCTCACTGAGTTGCTTAGGGTCTCACTAAATTGCTGAGGCTGGCTTTGAACTTGAGATCCTCTTGTTTCAGTCTCCCAAGCAGCTGAGATTACAGTTGTATGCCACCATGCCCAGCTAGTAGTGTTCTTAAAAGTGCTTAAAAGTTCTCAAAAGCACTGTGAAAGTTCCAAAAATATGGAATCATCTGCCTCATAAACTAACAACCTGAGGAGAAACCAGATTAATTCAGAAATAATTTGAAAAAGCCTATTTTCCAAAGTTAATAAAATATCTTGAAGAAAATATATCAACTACCACTTTAGATACAACTCACTCAGATTATTTCCCAATTTTCTTTCAATATTTTCATTTTAAAGTTAAGACCGAGAAAGTAATACGATAAGCTCTGAACTATAAGACAACCACAGTAAAAGTCTATTAAATCTAGTTAATTACCCTTTACCCTATTAATAGCATGTTTCAGCTGTTTTAAGCTAAAAAAAAAAAAAAAAAAAGTAAAGGGATCCTTCTAGATGAAGTGAAAAAAAATCATGGCTATTTATAAGGTAACTAATAGTTTAGGGGAAAGAGTTAAAAAAATAGGATTATTTTAAAATGGTATTTTTATACAGAATTTCTTTCTCTTGAGATTCTGGGAATATACAGCTCAGTGGTAAAGCACTACTACTACTAGGGGCTGGGGATGTGGCTCAAGCGTTAGCGCACTCGTCTGGCATGTGTGCGGCCCGGGTTCGATTCTCAGCACCACATACAAAACAAAGATGTTGTGTTCACCGAAAATTAAAAAATAAATATTAAAAAAATTCTCCCTCTCCCTCTCTCTTTAAAAATAAATAAATAAAGCAATACTAGCCTAGCATGCTCCAGGCCCTGGTTTTGATTCCCAGCACAGCCTCCCCACAAAAGAAAACCCTTTCACTTTCAGTTTTAATAGTGACGCAGATGAGGTTATCTAGAAAACACATGGTAGCTATTACTACTTCTGCTACCAAATACTGTCCCCACCTGTTTAGCACTTAAAGAAGACACCTTTGTGACTGATAACTACAAGTAAAGAAGAATCAGAGCAAAAAGGACAGATAGAACCAAATGAACCCCCACTAGTCTTCTCCATTAATACAGACATTAAGAATATAAACCTTGAAATACATTAACAACAAAAAAATGTCTTCATACAGAAAAATACCTGTTAGGACTTGGCTCTACAAATGTCCTCCAAAAAGTTTATTTGGAAAGCATGATTCCCAATACAGCAAGGTTTAGAGATGGGGCTTTTAGTCAGTGACTAGATCATGGGAGCTATAATCAGTAGATTAATCAATGTCAATAATAATTTAAATAGACTACTGGGTGGTTACTGTAGGCAGGTGGGATTTGGGTGGAAGAGCTGGCCACTCTGGACATGCCCTTAGACTATATCTTGTCTCTGGCCCCACTCTTTCTCTTCTTAGTGGCTTCCATAAGCTGATCTGCTCTTCTGTGCCATGCCCTTCAGCCATGATGTTCTGCCTCACCTCAGGCCCAAAGCAATGGAGTCAGCCAACCACCAACTGAACCTCTGAAGCCCTAAGTCCAAAATAAACTTTCGTCTTCTAAGTTGTTCTCATCAAATATTTTGGTCAC